GAAAATAACACTTTACAAAAAGGAAATAGCAAATGATTCATATTTCAAAACCCACAAGATGCAGACATTTAATTTGTAGCAAATAAAGAATAAAACTAATTCCTGATAGGTTCATTTTAAGTACTTTGTTTTGTACATATACACCTAATGGTCTGTCATTAATCTCTCGGTTATGTTTTATGATCTTAGAATTATATAAACATATTTCATGATTTCATCCAGTACAGATGAACATAATGAACATAAAATTTCATTAGGCCTTTTTCTTTGAAATGCAGAATTATGTGTAATACGGAATTGCTTGTTGTTTTAAATTAACAAACAGGTGATTTTGTTTGGTTAGCTCTGTCCAGCACATATTCTGTATCTCTGCCCCTTGGTATAACAGAGGGAAGTAAGTCATATCACTTTACCCAGTTCATTGCTTTATTGTTTCTCTAGTTAAAGTAGACTTCCTTCTTGCCATTTGGATTTCATATTTTCTCATTTCAAAAATAAGAGTTGAATTGTTTCCACAGTATCCTCCTCCTTAGGATAATGTTTCAAAAGAATCAGTTTCTTAATACAGTCAGGTACTTACTATATAGCATGAGGCACCTGGCACGTCTGAGTTTGGGAGTGAAGTTTACATAAAGACATGCATTTGGAATTCATCTACATTTATACCCACTATTTAAAAAAAAAGATTATGCATACAAGAATTGGGGTACAGGACAGGCCAGAGGTGTGGGGGTTGAAGGATCCACCAGAGACAGAGTAGGGAACTGAAAAGGCAGAGGCAAATATACTGAAATATACTGCTGATGAGGGGAGCAGCAGGTGTAAACCCATTATTTCTTGTTAAGCAGTGTTATATCTGTAACTAAAAACTCATTTGTTACCTTACTAGATATAAGATTATGCTGGACCTTTCAGAAGGAGTCAAATGATGTTACCTGATTTTAGTTGGAGGACAAAATTTAATGCACAGGTATACCGGCATCTTAGGTGCTTTAAATATATATATTATTTATGTAATTCTTTTTATGATTCTGTCTTAAAGTTGTTTGAATACATATAAAACATTTAACATAAATAACTGGTACATACAGTAAGTTATCAATATCTTCCTGGTTATCATGTACTGTTGCTTTATAGACATGGAAATAGAGAGCTCCATAAAGATTATTTTGCGTTTACAGAGCATTCTAGTGAAGGGGAATAATTTAGGTTTATGGCTTTAAAGTTCATGCAGTATCTTTTTTATTTAAATGTTTTCCTTCTAGGGTACTCACAGGTATGTGATGAGGAAGGATTCAAATCCCAGATAACACCACTTAGCACTTGAATGACATGACGATGTGCAAATCATGATGCCCGTGTTTGATCTGTAAAAAGGGAGTAATAATAGAGTAGAGCTGAGATGCTGTGAAAGCTACTAGCCCTAGAAATCTCTTCGAACTTACAAAAGCTACAGGCTCTTTATTGGGCCTGACATCTCATTTGCAGCTGTCCATCTCCACTTGCTTTCAGACCCTTGAATTATTCAGTTCAGGAAATAAAGAGTTTGAGTTAGTATTAGAGGTAAGCTATTTCCCTTTTCCTCCTTCTAGGGCATAGCCACTACTGGGGATTTTAAATAACTTTCTTGCTGTAATAGTCAATCAAGTATGCTTTGGTGATTTGGATTTGAGTTTTTGAACTTTGTGTATCACTGTTGACGGACAGTAGATTTTTCCCAGTTGGGGCTTTTATAAAAAGTGCTACTGTGAACATTCTTGAACATATCTCTTGATTCTAAAGTACAAGTTTCTCCATGGTGGAATCACCAAATATTAGTAGAGCACCATTTGTGCCAAGTACATTTTTGTCTAGTGGCAAGTAATTGGGAAGCTCTTTTGATGTAGTAGTTTAGTTTATTGTGTGTGTATCTTTATTGATGAAATGTCTAATTGTCTTTTACCCATTTTCTTAACTGTTGACTTTTTATTATCAAGCTTTTGCATTTTGATAGTTCTTCATGTACTATAGACATGAATTCTTTGTCAGGTCTGTGGCCTACAAATAGTTTCTCCTAGTGTGTATCTTGCTTTTTCGTCTTCTTGGCAGGATCTCTTGCAGGACAAAAGTTTTGTTTTTAATGAAGCTAGTTTCTTTTATGAATTGTGTTTTTGAGATTGTGCCAGAAGTTCTTGAGCATCTCCTAAGTCCTTAAGGGTTTTTTTTTGTTTGTTTCTAAAGGCATTACAGTTTGTATTTTATAACTTTAAATCTATTTTTTGAGTAATTCTGTTTAAAAAGAAATTTAAGTCTGATTTACTTTGTATTAATTTTTTAAAATGCAAAGTTCAGGTTGAGGTTCATTTTTTTTTTACCTGTGGATACCCAGTTACTCCAGATCCTCACAATTTGTTGGAAAGACTGCATTTCATATCAGTACTGGTTGGAATTATTTGTATGTGTGTGTGTATTCTGGATATTCTTTCCTGTTCCATTCACTTGTGTGTCTAGCTTTCTGCCAATAACCCCATTTCAGTATTATGTGTATATAAGCCTTGAACTTGGACAGTGATTCTTTTCTTTTTTTCTTTTTTTTTTTTTTT